TGATCTGTAGGGTATTTTGAGCTAAAACTTCACATACACACTCTGCGGACATCAGATACTTATTTTACATCTTGTAAAAAGGGGCATAATAGGTCACCTTTAAACTATACAGTAAAATAAATAAATAAATCATTTCAAATGTTAAAATGATGATTAAAATACATTATCCTACAAAAATAATTTTATTTAATCTCTTCATTTTATTCCTGTTCCTTGTTTTATTCAATGTTCTATGTAATAAGCAAGGCAGATGATTAAAAAGGAAACCAAATTACTACAACCAAAGGAACTCACAAAAATTCAGGTAGTGACAACTGCTTTTACAAAAATTATATGCAGTGTGCATGGAACCGAACTGAACATCTATAGTTGTTAATGCCGTATTTAAATGCGTATCAGAGATGTATCTCTCTTCTGTATGTGTTTGAGTTTTTTATGTGTTTAACTTTGATTAACCTGTGCTTTATGGTCAATACAATGAAAATGTATTGTATTAAATAAGCTTTAACAAAAATCAAATGAGATTGTGGTTTTTGACTGGAAATAAAGCTTCATTTCAAAGCGTTTTATCTTCATTTAACTTTGATAGCAAAGTTCATCAGTTTCAATGCTGACTCCATTTTCATTTTTTAAAAGAACATGGTTCATCACTATTCCATAATAACATAAATAACGCATGAATAAAAAAATACAAGTGTGGCTAAACGTTAAAAAACATAAAATACAGAAGATCTGCTGCTGCTCTCATGAATCTTCTGCTGTGTGTTCAGGTCCTTCTCTAAATCTTCTCATCCTCACTTTCTGATCTTCCTGCTTCTTTCCTAAAAGCATCACATCATCATCATCATCACACTCTTAATATCTGCATGTCAAATCCATAATGATGATGATAAACGTCTCTCACCTGACGTGTGTCTCATGTAGATGTGAAAACCTCCTAACAGACCCAACAGAACCATCAGCTGGAAACACCAGACCAGCACAAACACCACAGACACTGAACAACAAACACATCAATCAATCAATCAATCAATCAGTCAATCAATCAGTGTTGGGTGGTTGATTATCTGTAGAAGAGCATGAAATGATCTCACCAGGACAGGGTTTGACTCTAATGGTGTTCTGTGCGTGAGTTGGACTCTAATGGTCTTCTGTGCGTGACTGACGTGGTTCTTCACACTGCAGCTGATGTCTCCATCAGTTCCCTCATCCAGATCAATGCTGCTGTTTCCATCCATCAGTGGATCTCCATTCAGAGTCCAGTTGTAGAGGAGCTGATCCCCCTCAGAGGAGCAGGACACTGACCTCTGATTGGAGGAGCAGATGATTGACACTTCCACTGAGCCAATAGGAGCTGGAGGGGGGGACACATGACAGTCACATGACAAACACAGGGTAATCTTGTTCTTTCACACTTCTCATACTATTACTGGAGTCTGTAGTGTGTTTACTGTGTGCTACAGGAATAAAAACCTTCCCAGAGATTCAACTGATTCATCTGCATGAGAGTGAGATCTTTGGAGAATATGAGACTGGAATGAGTCTGATGAGAGAGTTGCTGTACCTTCAAGAGTCACTTGAAGATCTCCTTGAAATGATCTTCAAAAATCACTTGAAGATCTCTAGATGTTTCTGTGCCGTCTGAGCGTTCGAGTGTTAATCTGTAATTCCCTAAATCTGCTCTGATCACACGGTTTATTATCACAGTCCCATTAATGACTGTGACTTCAAGTCTGTTATTATAAAGATCACAATCCTTCATCCTGCCATTCTTTACTCTACAAACTGGACCATCTTGTGTGTTGTTGTTTATTCTCTTTATTATCTTCAGGTCATATTCTCTAGCGTCCCGCACCATCAGCAGATTGAGTTTGTGTCCCAGAGCTGCATAACAGGGATCAGGTTGATTAAAATTGCAGTTCAACTCCAGACCTGAAAAACAAAACACACACACACACACACACACACACACACAGACACAGTGAAATACACATTCAGTAAAATGAACATAAACTCTAAACCATTTCATTATTTCCATTATTCTATTTCAATATTTGAATTATGTAATACTTTTTTCATCACAGTAGCCCTATTTTTTAAATTCATAATCCAACATAACTTCTTGTATAATGAATATTATTGTTCATTAAATATTATTGTTCAGTAAATAATATTTTATATACATAATAACTGCCTTGAGAAATAAAAACAGTTATTGAGAAGTGGTCTGTGTGTTAGTTATGTAGACGAAATACTTCCAAGGCACTCATGTGGTAAGATAAAAAGCCTTTAATGAACTGGGCTTAAACCATTACTTGTTTTTTGTTTTTGTTTTGTTTTTTAAATAAAAATAAAAAAAAACAGAATTTTACATATAACAGTATAGATATAAAATTGCACATCATCAATAGTGCAAATTACAAAAATGGTAAAAAATCAATTTCTTCATTAACTCCTGGGGACTTAGTCACCCGGAGCGTATGAATCCAAAAAGTATCCCGTTGTAGAAGCTGTTTCTGTCTATTTCCACCTCTTATTGAACATGGGATAGATTCAATTCCAATCACTTTAAGGGAACTCTCAGTGACATGACCCACCTCGTTATAATGCCTCGCCATAGGATACAACATATTTTTCACACGAATAGCATATTTGTGTTCAGCCACTCTTAAACGCAATTTCCTCTTTGTTTGACCTACATAGAAATATCCACACTCACATTCTAGCCTATAGACTACATACAAGGAATTGCAATTAATAAAATACTTAATTGGATATACTTTCCCAGAAGAAACATCAGTAAAACTATTAGTTCTCACTATATTATGAACATTATTCAGAATTATGAGAACATTATGTTTACACCGCCCACATCTAAAATTCCCTAATAGACAGCCAAGCCACATTATCTTTTCAGAGGCAGGAAGATAGCCGCGTACTACTTTATTTCGTATACTAGTTGGTGAATGTCTATAACTGACCATAGGTTTTTCTCGAAAAATTGCCCTGTGGGTGCTGTCACTTTCGATAATGTTCCAATTGCGATGTTCCAATGTTCCAGAATAAGTGGTCTGTGTGTTAGTGTTGGCTATTTTTTTCCAGGCACACTACACGGCATGCGCCCCTGTACAATTAACTGCATCTCAATTCAAGGCTGCATCCTTTGAAGGGCGCATTTGAAGGCCGATTGCGTCACCGCGGCGTGACAAATGCTGTCCCAATTCGAAGGCTTCTTCAAATGCAGTCTCCAAATGCACACTTTGTTTCTCGTGAAACGAAGGCTACAAAAGATGGACCCTTCATGGCCTATTCATTCCAGAATTCATTCCACGCCTGTGACGACAGGATTTATCTGAGAGAAATTGCCGGATTACACTTTTAAATGTAAGTATTGTTTTCTACTTACTCGAATAATGTAATTTATGTAATGATAAAAAATTTAAAATAAAGAAGTAAAGCAGCTCAAATATTGGCTGATATCTTACCAAGACGCAATTTTATATAGTTTATACTCTTTATTATGTACATAAATAGACCATGGTGAACATGTTTAGACAGGTTTTGAACCCGGTTTTGTTTTTAGGCAGATGAAGATAACTTTTAAAACTGTCCAGTACAAACGTTACTGCCGCTCATCAACAGCACCTGTCACAGTTGCAACAAGAACAGTTCTCTGTAGGCTAGACTGTCCCATTTAACAATGCTCGGTCCGAACTTTGCGGCCTTCGAAGGATGCAGCCTTTGAATTGGGACACAGCTTGTTGCGTGAGTAGGTGGCTTCAAAGGACTGTATACGGAGCCGTTCACACATTCCACTGCACTACTTTTTCACGATTATCTATGCAAACACACTAGACAGATGTGTCTCAAAATCTTCTTTTTTTAGGGCTCCATTGCTAATTACAAAATGTAATTTTAGAGCTAGTAACAGGCACTGATATGAAGACTAATGCAGTTATAAGAGAGAGGGAGAGGTTAAGAGTTCAGCAGCAGCGTTTCTACTAATAGCGAAACTGTAAGTTTATCTGCTTCAAGAACAGTGCCATCATTACCTCGCTAGGGAGAAATGTCAACTGCATGTGTGCGAGTTTATGTTTGTGTGTGAGAGAGCAGAAGGATGAATGCATGCTTCCCATAGGTGATAATGAAGGTAACTTAGTGGGAAAAACATTTTATCCTATTTTTAGTCATACTTCTTAGCTTGTTCAGTGTCTTTGTGGGTTTTGGTTCATTTGCTGTTGTGAAGACTCTGAAATAACTAAAAACATTTGGTGAAGTGATATGGAACTGTAATGTGGTGGACAGAACTACTTTATAGCTGTGAGTTTACAAATAATTGCACACCACAGAACATTCTTCAACCAACCAGAATCAAGCATCTAACAGACCCATGGTGTAAATGATAATAAATATGTTCAATAGCCTAGATACATTCATATTATAGTGATAGAAAAAGAGACATTTTATAGTGATTCCGACACTTCAGCCTAACTGTTTAAATTATGATATTAGATATTTTGGTAGACATATGTTGTTGATATCTGATTCACAGAAATGAGCTCACCAGGACAGGGTTTGACTCTAATGGTCTTCTGGGCGTGACTAACATGGTTCTTCACGCTGCAGCTGATGTTTCCATCAGTTCCCTCATTTAGCTGAATGGTGGTGTTTCCATCCATTGATCCTTGTTCAAGCATTTCTCCATTCAGAGTCCAGTTGTAGATGATCTGATCGCCATCAGATGAGCAGGACACTGACCTCTGATTGGAGAAGCAGCTGATTGACACTTCCACTGAGCCAATAGGAGCTGGAGGGAGAGTCACATCAGTCACATGACAGATTAATCTGCATGAGAGTGAGATCTTTGGAGAACATGAGATTGGACAGAGTCTGATAAGAGAGTTTCTGTACCTTCAATATTAACAGGAAGATGTTTTTTAAATGTTCTTGAGCCGTCTGAGTCATAGAGTTCTAATATGTAAGTCCCTGAATCTGCTCTGATCACACGGTTTATTATCAGAGTCCCATTATCAAAGATGAACTCAGATCTGTTTCTGATGGATTCATGTTTTTTCTTTTTTTTGTTCATTATTCTAAAAACTTCAAGTTCTCTGCTATCCATTAACTCCTTATACAAATGCAGCTCTTGATCTCGAGCGTCCCGCACCATCAGCAGATTGAGTTTGTCTCCCACAGCTGCGTAACAGGGATCTGATTGATTAAAACTGCAGAAACGATCTGGACCTGAAGGACAAAACACAAACAAACAAAACACTATTCAATCACTAGCCCATTTGGCTATTCAAATAATAGCACATCTTTACACACATCACAAAAATATCAGGGGAAAAAAAATCACTGCTTAGATTAAATTTTATTTATTAAATCTTCTAAAATGTCCTTTAAATTTTATGACAGTGGATTATTAATGGGGATACCATAATAACAACATAAAGTAGAAATAAAAACAAAATATTAATAAAACAGCAATTATTTTGTTATAACTAACAAATTTATTTCACTTTAAAATCAACGTTTAAATTTAAACGCACTCTAAGAAAAGTCCCACAAAAAAAAAACAATAGGTTCCAATGTAGCCTATAGCCTAATATGCAGGTTTTCTATGGATTTCTTTTTTCTTTGGATGTTGAAGATTAGAGGACAGACTGTCAATTCATAAAGTGATCAGCTGATCAGCCTCACAAAAGTCAGCATACTGAATTCAGCGTATTGAAGCCTCTTCTACTAACATCCACTATAAAAGTCAACCGGTTCTTTGCTGTTGAAAAACAGTTGCATGCCAGGCGAGAATCGCAATGCCTCTGACTTCTCACAGGTATTGCACCCTGGATGCATAACTCGCATTCAAGTTCAAGGTGACAATCCAAAAACACTGAATACAGGCACAAGTTCAAAATTAAAGGACAACTTGATTTCACATTGTATTTGATGAAAAACTAACATGACGTAATCAAATAAAAAATGTTGTAAAAGTATATTTTCTTGCTTTCAAAGCAAACTTCGAAAATCCACTTGATCAAATGTAAGGTTTTGATGCAGGACCGCCACTGGAACAGCTCCTTCCTACCTCAATTCACTACTACAAATGAATGCTTACTCCTCACCAGCTCAGATCACTGAATGAGCTGCCAACTTCCACCCGAATCGCTGAGACCATCATCTCTTTCTTTGGGGTAGTCGTGGCCTAACAGTTAGAGTCGAGAGTCAGGAGTTGTAGGTAGGAGAGTGAATAACCAGCGCTCTCATCCAACTTCAATACCCATGACCGAGGGGCTCTTGAGCAAGGCACTGAACCCCCAATTGCTCCCCGGACACCAATGCAAAAATTGCTGCCCACTGCTCTGGGTGTGTGTGTGCACTTGGATGGGTTAAATACAGAGCACAAATCCAGAGTATGGGACACTTGGCTGCATGTGACATCACTTTCATTTTAAAAGAAGCAGCTGAAGACACATCACTTCTGCAATCAACCACCCCACACTCTTAAACCACTGCACTTACACACACACACACACACAAATCTTCTCAGCATTTCTCCTCTTCTACAACTTTAACTAATTTAGTTGCCTAATAAATATAGTACTGTGTACCATGACTATTGTTGGCTCTTTGACGAATTGCATTAATTTAATTAGTCATGAAAATAAAACA